GTCTACTCCTTCTACAACCACACTTTCTCTATCTCCAATGGCCCCTGGTTGAGGTTTCTTTGAAGAGTTTATGTGCATGGCTGTCTCTGAATAGGACATCTGCAAAACTTTTAGAATATCTCATGTCTGTGACTAATGCTCCTTTTTAATCCTGGGTGTTTCTACTGACTCGAACAAACTCTGAATAAAACACTTCTTGTTGGGAGTCTGTAGAGCTTTCTTTTAGTTTTGTGGTTTAGATTAGTAGCAGTTTGTTGGATTGGAAAAGACTCCTCCCACATCATTGACACATAATTGAAGCCAGGATGATAATCTGCCAGTACGCCACTGGAAATCCATTCTGAAGCAGAGAGGGACTTTTACTTTCTCCCTCTGATTTTAAAATAGTCTCCTCTCATTCATAATAGTCTTTTTGAAAACTTTTACAGCTGCCACTATTCCTTTTTTATTGCTAGATTTTCATTTGAAGCTTGCAATTTTGTTTTGACAATTTTTGAGATTTTGTTGTGCTTTCTCTCTTAATTTGCAGTTCAGTCACACTGATTCTTGCAAGTGGCACCACTCCTTGTTTTACAGCCTGGTTCTCCTTGTGCAGTTGAGGATTCTCAGGGGTTGTATGCAGAGGAGAAGCAGTCTGCTCCTTAACTTGGGCACTTACTTTTTCTAACTGTGCTTATACTACTTGCAGTTTTTTTCCTTTGCAATTTTTTTGTGTTTAGCTGTAGCTGGCTATGTAAGGAATGTGCTTCTTTCCACAGCTCCTCAACTGGAGCAATGTTTACTTCCTTTCTTCCTGGACTGAAATGTTTCCATTGTGTGGAAAAGTTCAAATCCTCCCCCCCCCCACCCCAGTTCATCTAGGGGGTCTTGACTACAAAATGCTCTCTCACAACTGACAGTTTCTTCCTTTTTATTCATCCACAATTTCAATACACTTGATTTCTCTTCTGAGAGTCTGCTTTAATGGACAGTCTTTCTGCTTCTGTGACTGAGAGCTAAATTAGATTGGGGTCTTTTCACAGATGGGAAGGAGGAAGACGGCACCCTTTTGCACAAGCTCTGCCACACTCTCCAAACAATTCATAAGGGCAAAGAGATGAAGGAACACACAAAAAGTGCCTACATCCCCCAGTGGGGTTAATAGCAGCTCTGTGGGTCTGGTTCAGGTCAGGTCAATGGCGTGGGAGTGGAAGGGCTCGGCTCTACTCCTCCTGTGCTGTGGTCCCAATCACAGTAGCTGTTGAGAAAACAGAAATGCTGGACTGCTCTCAATATAGAATTCTCATCATATCTAGCTTGACTTTCAGATTTGAGGACAAATGAAAGGTGGGAACAGAGTCTGGCATACGATACTGAGGATGGAGTAGAGAGGAAACTTAAACGAAACAGTTCTGAAAACCCATAAAAGTATCAGGAAAAGGGATTAGCTACACACACAAACATCAGAGCTCCACCACTCCCTTGTAAGCATTTTTGATTATGGTAAAAGGTCCAGTGTTTTGTTTCTCGATTCCTTTTATTGATAGTTTTTGATCTTTAATGTCTGCCACCCTCAGGGATGCCCTTTCCAGAGAGATATATTTACATGTAGCTGCTGGTCTGTAGTTGCATAATAGTTACAAGATGTAGGTGCTCTTAGGTTTCTTTGTTACATTTTAGTTACATATAATTTAAGGTTCAGAGCAGTTGTGAACCTTGTGACTTAAAATGTGACCATTTTGTTTTCCTTGTAAGGGAAGGGTTGTGTGACAACAATTCTTGTTGTTTTGTTTGGTGCAATACCTCATCTGAAATTCCTGCAGTGCCCTTCTCAGAAGAGTTCTTCTGAGACCACAGTTAGTCTAGTTTATGCCTGATTTAAGCATGATGCTGGTGCAAACCTGTCCATGTGATCTTGCTCATGCCCAATGTCTCATTTAATCTGTGCTGTGCTGCTATGCATGGAATGCAGCTATGTGTGCCATGCCTGCTGGGGCTATGGCTCTCTGGCATGCCAAAGCTGCATGCAAGCCAAACGATAGCCCAGTTTAAATATGATGCTGGGCATATGAAAGATCACATTGAAATCAGGCTTTGGTTGATGTGGAGTAGGCATCACACATAAAGCCAATACAGCACTCAAAACGGAGTTTAGTAATTTCATCCATTGCAAAACATATATGGTTTCCTCTCCCTGGCTCTTATTTATTCCTGATGTAGGAGTCATTGTCTTGGGTTCTTAGGATCTTTACCTTTCAGTTACATTTCTTTTTATTTTCCTGAAGAATGAGAGGAAATGTCTCTCCCTTCCTGATATAGAGGCTTTTGGAATTTTTTTTTTAAAAAACACACATCCATCTAGTCTTGTCACTTCTGTGTCCTGCTTTGTAAAATCGAGCTGCCAGTTTCATGTGCCATTCTCATTGTGTGTGAACTTGAGCATATGCAGGGAGCAGACTAATGAATGTACCTAATTTTAAGACAGCTAATAGAGGACACTTTGCCTTGCTCAGATAGCCCTGCCCACATGCTCCTCCCATACACTGTGAGTGACAGGAGAGAAAGGTGCAGTAGTTCCCTTTCATTTATAGAGAGAGGTATTTGTGTGTCCATGGGATTTATATCTGGGGATGAACAGTATGATCAGCAAGCTCACTTTCTAGACAATGCTACAAGAGAATACGAACACCACCTTATATTAGAAATGTACTGACTGTGACATGTATCTCCATGCTTCTAACTACCATCCAGAACACACCACATGATCCATTGTTTATAGCCAATGCCTGTGACTGTTAGCAAATGTATTCAGGACAATGTGTGTATACGTTCAAATGGAGTGGGATGAATAGTGCATGCCCAGAGGTTTTGAATCAAGACCAAAAGTAAGGGCCCTGCAGACCTTAGCTGTTTCCTTGCTGAGCCAGCTGTTGTCAGATTCGATCAACTAGAGGTTCAGACTGATGCCACACTCACATTCCTTGTACCAGCCAACCTCTATTCTCACCTAGAAATTTCTCTAACATCTGACAATATTCCAGATGTGGCAAAGGTTGTTGGACCAATGCTAGGGAGTGATGCCAACAAAATTGAAGCATAGGAATCTTGGCAATATAAGGAACCTCATTGGTTCCAGTTGCTTGGAACAGAGACTGACACCTTAAAGATTTACAGCAGAGATTCTTAAAAGTAAAACATCCTCTCAACAGAATGGGAAAAGATTAAGGCCCCAGAGAGTAAGTGACAGAATTCCACTTGATGTCACCACTCTCATATGTCATCAGTGATCTACAACCATTTTGTAGGCTTGTATATTACTCCTTTAGGTGTTGTTCTAATCATTTGAGCATCTTTACATTCAAATGAGAAGCAGAGGTCATTTCGGGGGGGGATCGCGTGGGATCGTAATTCCCCCGGGTGAGGTACGGGGGGGGCAGGGCACATGACGAAGCCCCGCCCCCTGCTTCCGGCCACCCCGCTTCCGGCCCTCATTCAGCCAGGAAGAGGCAGGAGAAGAGGGAGGGTAAGTTGCTTCCTCCCTGCCTCTCCCCACCCCTGCCTGCTTGGGCCCAGGGAGGGCCTTCGCTGGGCTTCCTTGCACTCCCGCCGGCCTTGCAGGTCCACCGCCGGGCCCTTCATGGGGCTCGGCAGTGGAGCTGCAAGGCCGGCGGCGGCGGCTGGGACCATTGGGAACAAGGTGTGTGGCCTTATGACACATTTCCGGTGATATCAGGGGGTGTGGCATATGCTAATGAGTTATGCTAATGAGTTCCCCTAGCTCTTTTTCTACGAAAACGACCCCTGATGAGAAGTGATTAAATCTCAAAGCATAAGTAGTGGTGATTTATAGAGGTGGTAGTGGCATTCGTATTTTAAATTACTTAGGGGAGATCCAGTACTTTTATGTGCCACTGTCCTTAAAATTCCTCAGGTGCATTATATCCCCTCCATCTATATAGACAGGTCTTTCAGATAATATGTCTAGAGATTGCACATTGCCAAAAATCCACTTCATGTGAGGCTGCTTTTCAGTGGTTTGGTATTTTAGTGCATGTTACCAGAAACAATCCCTTTGCACACGTATCTCAGCTCACATGCTAAGTGAAAAAAGTGACAATATTCTGTTATTTGTGTTTTACATTCATGTGTAAATCCTCCCTATGTGTATCACAAGCAAAGTTCAGCTCCTGTCCTCTGTTAGAGCCATTCAGTCTTCCCAGTCAGCATTTCAGGAAGAAGAGGTGCATGTGGTTGCAGGTAGTTAGTTCTATTGTGTTTTATAGAAAACAGGGGGGATATAATTCATTTTAATTCACCCCCATTCCATTTGAGCAAAAGCTGGAGGGGAGGGGGAAGTCAGTTGGTAGGAAAAGACTGAAAGAATGGAAGAAAACAGGGCCAGGACACCCTCATCAGAATGAAGAAACAAAGGGGCCAAACTTGTTAACGTTTCTTTACAGAGACTGCTAACATTGCACTAGTGAATGATACTTGATCTCATTGTTAAGACTCAGAAATGTGATACTGGGCTTGTGTGTTTTCTGTGTTATTTAGGTCCATATTTACTGTATGCATTTATGTTCTAAAGACAGAGCCTTGAAACATCCATCAGTCCAGAGTAGTTACCATGCTGCCTCTTCTCATGCCTATTGCTGAGATATACTATGCTTTACAAATCTACATCTTAAATCTGTACAACAGAGGCCACTGTGACCGAGAAAGGTATGCAGAGACTCTGCCATCTGCATGAACACACTGTTTTCCCTCTCTTTTTCCAAAGTAAATAGATATACCCATACCACAAAAATATTTTGCTCATGTGTTGTTTTTCTATTCTCTCTTCCTATTGTTTCAGATGATAACACGAATAGGGACATCTTGGTCTTTTTCAAACCATTTTTCAAATACAGCAGCAGCAACAAAGAGGCGAGGTTTGGCAAGGAAGAGGTGTCAATTCCTCTGAGGAAATTGGAAAGACGACGAAATAACATGCTCCACCCTCTCACTCCCTGCCAATCTTGGCCTCCCTCCTCCAGTCCTAGCTGGGCAGAGTAGAGAGCAGGATCCCCAGTGGTGCCTGCATTGCTCAGAAGAATCCACTTCAGTGACTTGAAGTATAAGAAACTTGTTTTCCCTTGTAACTCACTATAACATCTTCAGCACTGAGTACTCCTGGCTTCTGCAGACAAGAGAATATGTCAGTCTTGCTCTTGCCCCTCCTACCTTGGCTTCTCTGCCACCAGGCATACGGTGCAGGTAAGTGAAAATCCATGGCTTCTGGGTTAATTTCTCTGATCTAGGAAAATAGTGGGATTTTGTGAAACAAAAGATATGTATTGTGTACAGCTTTGAGGGGGGATGCCTGTTGTTTAAAGCCTCATACATATCCAGTTCTCTGAGTAGATGTAAAACTGTGGGTTCTGATTTTAAAAACCAGACAAAGACTCCTAAAACTAGTTTTATTTGTGAACACAAGCTGTGTTTTGTAAGTTAGTCTTGGACTGGATCAAAACTGTTAAGTTGATGGTGAGAAATGGAAACGTGAGATATGCAAAAAGCCAAAAATGCAACCCATGCAATATCTTTATTAGGATGTACCCAATGATAGGCAGTGCGCAAGCTTCTGAACTCCCTAGAACTCTTCATCTGGACAAATGTCACAAAGTTCCATTCAGGGGAGAAGGAGTTGGATATAGATTTGATAAATAAATACATTTAAAATGAGAGAAAAGGCAGATTTTTTTTCCAGGTTATGATGTTAAAAAGACCTTCTTGTGCCAGGCTATGCTGGGCTTACTGACACACTGAGGCAAAGCAGAATCAGGTTTCAGGTGGCTACAGGCTAGGACCTATAACAACAAGAAGTAATAAAACAAATTCCATAGCACCAATTCCTCCCAAAATGTGAGACATGGAAATGCAACTTAGGAGCTGGGAACCAACATCTGTCTTGTTCTATAAGATCCTAGGATGGAATAACTCCTACTGACCCAACCAGAGGAGACCCACTGGATCACAATTTAACATGAAAGCAATTCAGAGCTGTCAGACTATGCAGTTAGAAACCTACACTGCCCTGTGGCTTTCGGAGAGATCTGGATTTGCGGTGAGCAGCAAAGTGGTTGTGCTTGTGGATAACATCGCATTGTTCAAGATGTTGAGAAGCAAACCCTGGGACAAACAAAATCTTGATGTTAAACATATGCTATTGGGTTCTGACCTGGCAATGACTGATCAAGAAAAACCTTGAGGCTGTGGTAGATAGGATTGATCAATGAATTGTGAGTCAGTCTGCAACAGTCATGAAAACGCAAATACTATACTAGGGCTTATTAGGAAAGGGGCTGAAAATAAAATGGGAAGTATAGAAATGCCTTTATATACATTTATGTTGTGGTTACATTTGGAATATTTTGTACCATTCTTATTACTGTGTCTCGAAAGGGATATTGTGGTACTGGAAAAGTTGCAAAAAGAGGAAACAAAAATGACCGTGGGGTTGGAGCACCTTTCATGCAAGGAAAGGCTAAAGTTGGGCTTTTTTTTTTGTTTGGAGAAAACACAATTTGGGGGCAGGAGGACATGGTAAAGCATTATAAAAATATACAACAAGTAAAGAAAGTGAATAGGGGGAACTATTTCCCCAATCCCATAACACTAGAACTCATGGGCACCCAATGATGTTAATGGGCAATAGATTCAGGAGACACAAAAGGAAGCAGGAATGCTGAGAATTTCATTGCAAACATTTTTGACAAATAAACCTACCCTGTTCGACTACAACAATCTGATTTGATCACCAGGTGTATTCCGTTCAGCGCTGAATGATTCAAGTGCCTGCTGAGTAGCTTTACATACATTTCTTAAAAACTACATGTGCTGCCATTGACTACACCACATAGGAGGATGGCCCTGCCAAACAGCCACATATGGGTTGATGAGCGATTGCAAAAATTGGCGATGGCAGATCTTCAAGCATTCTAAAAGGAAGCAACTTTTCCACCTTAAGTGTAATTAACTTGAAGAATTCACTGCCACAGGATGTAGTGATGACTATTAATTCACTTGACTTTAAGAGGGAAACAGACAATTTCATGGCTATTAGTCATAAGTTAACTACACGGAATCTCCATTTTCAGAGGCAGTAGCTCTCTAAATGCCAGTGCTGGGGCAACAACTAGAGGGAGGCTTTGGTCTGTAAACTCCTTACAGGTGTTCTGGGGCATTTGGTTGGCTACTAGTATGTGAAAAAGGATGTTGGACTAGATGGTCCCTTGGTCTGATCCAGCTTGGCTGCTTTTATGTTCTTATAAAACAAAGAACAAGCAGATAAAATAAGGACTATAGGCCCCGTTCACAAGGAGCATTTGCTATGCTAAAGATACGGATGATAGGCGGATTTTCCGGGCACGATCACACTGCAACATCTGGGAAGCGTAGTGCTCCCGTGGCTAACCCGTGGCTTCCCGCTGAAGATGCGAAGTAAAAAACTAGTACTTACGATGTACTGGTTTCTGGAAAACGCGGGGCAAGGGCGGGTGTCTGATCGCATTTCCACTGGAATCCCACGGCATCCGGCGCCCGCCCATGTCCCCTTGCAAACCGGATTTTTTTTAAAGTCCCCACAGGATGCGCACAAACGATCATGCACATACGCAAACTTCGGTAAGACAAACAAAAAATCCCATTTGCCACAGAAGCGGCCCAATTGCCGGTGTGAATGCACCGTGCTGCTTCTTTGCCGCGCTGCAGACTAGCCGTCTGATCAGCACCTAACGCCTAACCACGGGACCTCGACAGGATGTCTGATCGGGCTGCCACGCGTTACTTTGTTCTGGGGCAAACAGCCACGCTCCCCCCCCCCCGCATTTTTCAGCCCGTGTGACCGGGGCCATATACAGACTGAAGTGCAGTTTCAGTGCACCGGGAGCAATGACTCTCATATCTTCTTGCAGTTCCTCCCCATGCCCACAAGTATGCCCCAAGTCTTCATGGTCTCCAATTTATCCTTATTCCACAATGCACATCCCAGCTGTTCACATCTGACTCTGTTTTACTGCCACCCCTCAGTTATAAGCACAGCTTCTGCATTACTAAAGGCTCTGGAGAAGAAACTGGTAACATGGGACAAGGTCCCTTGCCTCAGTGTTACAGTAGGCCATGCTGCCAGTGATCTCTCTCGATCCTCCTCCAGCTACTGCAGAGGGCAGGATCCAGGCTTTGGGAAAGGAAGAAGATGAATTGCTTCATAGCTGTGTCACCAAAAGAACACTATTTAGAGTGTTTTTCTAACCTATCCCAAGTTACTTTTAAAACATTACCAATTGGGGCATGGAAAGGGGAAGAAATGACAGCATTCCACACCTGCCTACACAGTGCTTGCGAATGCTTCAACCCCCCTTCCTGACTGGTTTTCCCAATCCAGTTATGTATTTCTGACTCTGCTAAACCTTTTTCACTTATGTGAGGGGCTTTCTTCAGCATTCTCCCTTTGCCTGTATGTTAGCAGAGACAGACTTTATTTCACAACCCCAGAACCTCACCACAAAGAAAGTGGAAGGAAGAAGCAGGCTGTATGTCCAAGCTGTTCCGTGATGGTAGCTGGAAAAGGACGACATACCTTAATTCCATGGTACATCTGATTTCAAGGTCTGTTTGTTGCCATGAAATACCATCAGCAGTGCCTGCAGCCAGGCTGAGGAAGAAAATAGACATCATCCTTCAGGAGTATATGGCTCTATACATTTTCTGTCAGATGGCTTTGGTAAACCACTGAACATGGATTGAGCTATACTGCTTATTATGAACAACTGTGAACCCTTGATCAGGGCTTGTGACTTTATGGCAGTTTGGCTCATAGTATCTTTGTCAAAAATGGTCAGATGGATATGGCTTGCCAAAATGCCTACCAGCTTGCGAGGAGCACTAGCCTCCTCAGCAGAGTCCTCACAGGCTTGGCTATTTCATGTGAGTGGAGGGAACAGAAAGGTGAAACCACTGTCCCATACCTGCTTCTGATTCAGCTGAACTGACCTTTCCACCATCCCAGCAGCTTTGAAGGAGAGGCAGGCAAAAACACCATCACATAGCTGGCTCCTGGTTCATTTGGACTGACCTTCCCTCACAACAGCAGACATTTAAGACCACAGTATTCTACCAAGGGAGAGAAAATGCAGAGACACTCACATGTCTGCTCCTGGTTCAGCTCAGACCTTTTGTTTCTAGTTTTCTCCCTGTCCTCCGTTTGTAAGAATATTTATTTTTTGTTTCAGGTGTGTGCGTGCAACGTATTAAAATTCTGATTTTCAATCTATTCTCTTCCCCATCCCACATCTTTTCTCACAGGCCCATTTACAGTATTGTTCTTAACTTTTTTTAAACTGAAAAGTTTGTTAAATGAAATGCCACATTTTATGAATATTGTGAGCTACTCTGAGGGTTCCAGTCTAGAAGAGGGATACAAAGTCATTTTTTTTTAAAACCTCTATTTTTCCACTTGGACAAAAGTAAAAAAAGTTTTAAAAAAGAAATGATACACAGAAAGAAGCAGGAAATTTGCTCTTCCTCTGACTTCTGCTTCCTAAAGGAGCTTCATCTTGCTTCACAGTTTCACTGGCTTTATAAGCATGAAGCATAGTATTTAACACAACCAAGAGGTCTATTTGCAGCATTTTCTGGTTACCCAGAAGGGCCCATTACCTTTGCAGTGGAGGAAGTGGCAAGTTCACCTCGCACTTTGCTGATTTTGCTACACTTGAACAAAAGGAAAGGCGCTGCCAAAGTGACCTTGGTAAAGGCTGGTGCCATCCAGTCTGGGACAGAGGGTGGGTAGCCAGTTTGTGCTTGTAGTCAGTCAAGAGGGCAAGCCTTTAGGAGGAAGACCATGGAGGGAATCCCTTCCTTCCTGAATATGCAAAATTTCCTCCGGAAATGATTAGCAATTCTGCCTGTGGTGCCAAATCGAGCAAGAAGAATGATTTTTGGGAAGGGCGTGTCTACCATTCTCTTTTGGTACTGTTCACAAGGCTGGTATGAAAAGACTTTGGGGGCACAGGGTTTTAAAGGCCTTTCGTAGTAGCTCTGGCATGTAGTATAATATCAGTCTAAATATCTGTTGTCTTCTTTTCTCTCTCAGACCTTCATGCGATCAACATGCTCCATCTGTCCTACTTTCCAGATAATTGCTCAGTGGAAGTTGTAGGCAATGCTACTCTGGATGGAAAGCTCACTCATACTTTGGAGGGGCACAACGAACAGCTCAATGTGAGCCAGCTGCTCCCACTGGAGCCTTCCCATCTTTGGACACAGAGGAAGAGCAACGTGTACCAGTACATACAGCAGTTCCAAGACATGGTCAAAGTGATAGCTCGGGAGAGGCATGTAGAATGTGAGTAATGAAGTAGGGAGCAAGACAATGCTGGTGGTAGGTGTCACTATAACTAGCTGCTATCCCATAGCTTGGGCATGTGATAGAGTTGACCAGTATTCAGTTTAATTTAGAGATTTGGAAGCAAATAGCAGATAGACTGAAATGACTGCATAGGAGGCTCTGTCCGGGATGCTGAGACCATTGATTTTAATTAGTTTAGATTGGAGTAGCTCTACATAGGACAGCATTAATGCCTCTTACCTACAGGTATCGGGTGCATATGTAATGGCAACTCTGGCTGTAACTGTATTGGTGAAAGTACAATTTGGCACCACTTGTATCTGCCAGCTCCTGAAAACTGAGCACAGATCTATAGCTAGTAGTAGGGATGTGCTCTGGGATATAGCCATTCCAAAAATATACCTCCAAAATATTGGTATTTTGGGGTATATTCGGGATCTGGATACATATTAGAGAATTCCAGCCAGTACCAATAATCTGATCCCAAATATGTCTGGATCCAGAGCTGGAAGTTTTAAAGCTCCAGACTTGGTTCCTGCCTGCCTCATGCTTTTGCAGGTTTCCTGGGAAAGGGGAGGGAGGCAGCTTACAGGCAAATGGGAGTGCTTTTTAGGGGGAGCCCTTACTGTCTGCCCAGTCATGGCGATTTTCTAATAGGCTAGTTTTGTTTCAAATTCTTTTTGACCCCTGGCAAAGAGCATAAAACCAGCCCTTGGCTGCAGCATGGCAGCATTACGGTGGAAGATTTCTGGAGTGTGCCTGTGCTGCTGTGGTCTGCTGCTGCCTTGGAGGTTTCCAGCATTTGGAGGGTACACCTACCTGCCTGAAGAAAATTGTCACCTGCTTTGCATATCAGTTTAAAAATATTTCAAGTGTAATTGGTTTTTCTTTGTGTGGGGGGATTGGGGGTGGAGAAAAGGGACTAGCTAGGCTTTAGTTCCTTTCTATTTTGTTTTTAAACCTAGTCTTCTTTGGTTTTTGCTGTTTGAGTTGCCTTTGTTGTGCTGTTTGGTTTTTTGTTTTTGCTTTGGCGTGGTGTGTGTGGGGAACCTTTGCTTGGTTTCTGGCTCTTTTAAAAGCTAGTTTTCTTTGGCCTCTGCCGTTTTCAGATTTTAAAATGGCATGCGCACTGTTTTGTTGCTGTTGGGGTCTATTTTTCAGGGGGTTGCACTTTAATTTTTAAAGGGAGTTCTGGGGAGGTCGTGTGTGTTCCAGGTTCAGCTGTTTTAATAAGTTTAGCCTTTCTAGTCCCACTGTTCTGATTCTCCTTACTCTGAAGTATTTCTTGGGGGAGGGGTATAGTGGGGTTTTGGGGTGTTCCCATTAGTTTTAAATAATATAATTATTCTAAGGGAAACTTCTTGTTGGGTTTGGAACAGTTAATTTAAGTGAGAGTTTAGGTATTTTAAAAAGCACAAAATAATTTTCAGCACAGGGCTTAGAGTTCCTCCCTTAATAGACTTGTTCTAAGCAATTAAGACAAGACCAGGCTGTTTTTCAAACAATAATTGGAGCACAGATTAACTTAAAAATATATTAGGGTGACCTTGCTCTGGATTTCAAAACAATTGAAGCCAGGTGGTTAAAAAAAAGTGTTTTAGGCTGATCTTTTAATCTTCTGGGTTTTCAGAAGGGAGTGCTTACTTTTTTTGGGAAAAGTCAGGCTTTGCTTGTGGGCCGGGTAGGAAATTAAGGCTTTTAAAACTAGCTTTCCGTCTTCAAGCTAATCACCAAAAAATTAGCCATCTTTTAGGCTAGAAAGTCAGAAGTGGTTTTTAAAAAAAATCAATTGAGATAAGGCTAGATGTAGCTTTACAGAACAAAAAAGTTTGTGCTGGGGGATTTTTTTTAAAAAAGTAAGCAGGTTAATGTGTTAGGTAGGTTGTAGTACAGCTAGCTTACTTTGGTGATGCAGTCAGACTCCAGGGAGGCAGAAGGAGAAGCAGGAGGAGAGTCCAGTGGGGTCTTGGAGAAAAGGCTAAGCAGAGGAGGATGGAGGGGAGGGGGAGGCTTTCCACCACCTGTGTGGAGGGCTGCCCCACAGCTGCCTTCTACCACTGCATCCTCTGGGCAGGGGTCTGCTGCTCAGGCTGCCCCTCCTCCGGCTGTTGTGACTCAGCCAGAGCTGCAGTAAAAAAGGCCAACACTGTGCTGGGGATTATTAGGAAGGGTATTGAAAACAGATCAGCCAGTTCCAAACTGGAATATATATTATAAAGCAGCAGCGCTAACATGGATAAAGGACTGGATAACATTAGAGAATACCAGATTATTAAAACTAGAAGGTCATAACCTAGCAATGGGGTGGCATAAATATGTGTGGTATGAAGAAGACAAGCTCTCAAAGAGCTTTACACAACACACGATAAGAGGATCTCTAATGAAAATACGGTATTATTTAAAAACTTCTAAATGGGTGGCACCAATAGAAGCATTAACAATACCAACATTGATGGAGAAATACAAAGTAGTGTCATATGAAGATTTACTAGATAAAAATAATAACCTAAAAACAAAAGAACAACTAGCAATGCAGAAAGTAAAGCTTACTTGGTGGGACAAAATGCAATTAACTTTGAGATATAATATAGATTAAAAATGGGTTTCTACAAAGAAAATAAAGAACTGGACAAGATCTGGCTCTCTTCTAGTGATAAACTAATTCAAAAGTTATATAAAATGTTAAGAGAAGACTACATGGTAGGTGAAACGATTAAAGGAACAATGGTGGCATGGACAAAAGATTTACAAAACACATTAAAAGCAGAACAATGGACAAAAGTATGGAATTCAATAAAACTAATGAGAGCGATTCCATATAAAGAGAATATTTACAAAATGTTTTACAGGTGGCACTGGACTCCAGAGAGACTAGCAAAATGCCATGTAAGCTCTAACAGAAATTGTTGGAAATGTAAGAAAAATGTCGGTACTTATAGGCATATGTGGTGGAGGTGAGAAAGAATGCAAAAATATTGGAAAATTTTTTATAAGATGATAAATGAAATTACAGGCATGCAGATAGCATTTATACCAGAGACCGCATTATTGATTATTCTGCCAGAGACATGTAGTAAGACAAATAAATACATAATTGTATATTTCTTTACAGCAGCAAGAATATTAATAGCCAAAGCATGGAAGGAAGAAGAGATACCTTCAAATAAAGATCTAATAGATAAAATGTTGTCTGTAGCCGAAATGGATAGATTGAGCTTAATACTACAAGAGAAAAGTAAATAAATTTTTGATAAACGATGGGAAATGTTCTGTATGTGGTTAGAGCATGTATATAAAAGTGACTCACAAGAATGAGAAATTTAAAATGAAATAATAGTTGTAATATGGAAAAATTATAAATAAACCATAAAAAAAAACAGATCAGCCAATATCATAATGCCCCTATATAAATCAATGGTGTGACCTCATTTGGAATACTGTGTACAGTTCTGGTCACCACACCTTAAAAAGGATATTAGAGCTTTGGAAAAAGTGCAGAGAAGGGCAACTAGAATGATAAAAGGGTTGGAACACTTTCCCTATGAGGAAAGGTTAAAGCGCTTGGGGCTCTTTAGCTTGGAGAACTGGCAGCTGAGGGGTGACATGATTGAGGTTTATAAGGTTATGCAAGGGATAGAGCGGGTAGAGAAAGAGGTACTTTTCTCCTTTTCTCACAATACAAGAACTCATGGGCACTCCATGAAATTGCTGAGTGGTCAGGTTAGAACAGATAAAAGGAAGTACTTCTTCACCCAAAGAGTGATTCACACATGGAATTCACTGCCACAGGAGGTGGTGGTGGCTACAAGCATGGACGGCTTCAAGAGGGAGTTAGATAAGCATATGGAGCAGAGGTCCATCAGTGGCTATTAGCCAGAAGGTATAGATAGGGACTCTGGGGCAAGTGATGTTCTGTATTCTTGGTGCTGGGGGGGCAACAGTGGGAGGGCTTCTAGTTTTCTGGCCCCACTGCTGGACCTCCCGATGGCACCTGGTATTTTTGGCCACTGTGTGACAGAGTGTTGGACTGGATGGGCCATTGGCCTGATCCAACATTGGCGTCTCTTATGTTCTTATGTCTTTTGAGGTGAGCTTGGGGGACAACAGTGTTTTGGGTCTGGAGCTCACCCCAGAGGCTGCTGTAGGAACTGGAGGAGATACAGATGCCCCTTCTCCGATTCTTCCAGAGTCCAGCAGGCCTTTGAAAGAGACAGGAGGATGAAGTTGGTGCAAGAGGAAGAAATGGAGGTGCACCACAAGGTCCTGCTATCTCCATCCCCTCTCCCTTGGGCATCCCCTTCTACCCCTCCCCACGCCAACACAGTGTGTCTTACGTGAACTCCTCACAGGAGGCAGCCCCAGTCATCCCTGCAGCTGGTAGTCAGTGTGGGTGCCCCTACACCTCTGGAGTCTGGAAGCATTTCCAGAGGGTCCCTCCTTTGTACAGTGCCAGTTGTGTAGGGCTCGGATCCGTTGAGGGAAAGACCTGTCATGTCTTTACTACCGGCCTTTGGAACCATTTGAAAAAGTACCACCAGCTGGTGCTTCTTCAGGGGGAGAGAGAGGCTGTTGGGGTGGCTTTGTGGCCATCAGCCAGCCAAGAGGACAGTCCTTCTGCAACTATCAGGCAGGGTGAGATGGTCAATGGCTGGGCTGGCTGTTACCAGGCTTTGCTCCACACCACGTTTCTCTATGCAGTGCACATGGGGAACATCTCTGCCACTACAGAAAAGCAATTAGTGGAATGGGTAGGCAGAGCTATCTTCATGGCCTTCATGGTGACTGATGGTAGCACAAATATTAGGGCAGTGGCACAGGCTGTGGGCGTGAGGTGCATTTACTATGTGGCCCACTTCCTTCACCTCATGCTGAAGGATGCCCTGGTCTGCAAAGAATCTTGCCCTGGACACTGTGACACATGATTTCTGGTGTCTGCTCCAGAACTTCTGGAATCTTACAAGTCATTTCTCACGCAGTGTGAAGGCTACCCATCTGTGCAAGAAGCAAGCACTGGTGGGCATGCTAGAGTACCACTTGATCAGTGATGACAGCACTTGCTGGAACTCTACCTGAGCTTTTGTAGAAGAGCTCCCCGGCTAAGTTGACCATAGAGGTTGACATTAGGGGTGTGCAAAAACCCCCACACAGTATTTTTTGGGTTCGGAAGATGGTTGAACTCACTGCTTGGGACTCCATTTGCACGGCAGCACTTGCAAAAGGCATTTTTGCAAGCAGCCCTACGTGAGTGAACTCCCGAGCGGTGAGTTCACCCAGAAGGTGGGTAAACTCATGGCTTGAGAGTTCACTTGCAAGCTGTGCTGTGGATAAGCTGGGGCATCGTGGCATTGACCACACCCAAATAAAAGCAAAAAAACAAAAATTGGCTTTTTTAAGGTTCAGTTGTATCGGTAACCAAGTACAGATCTCTGATCTGTATTTGGCTTAAGTAATATCCCCAAAATACCAATAAGCTACTTTTCAGGGTTTTTAAAAAAAAGTTTTGCCAAACACAACCCTCTAGTTGACATTGTGTGGGGGGAGAGAGTGTTCAAGTATGAGTGACTGACTCTCTCCTGGGCAGTTGAGGTAATTAAGCACTTTAAAGAGTTCACCAAAGTGCTCTCATCCTATATGGCAGGCTTGGCTCTTCTCATTCTCTTGATCCAAATGCTTCAGAGGAAGACATTGTTCCAGCAGTTTGTGAGCACTGGTGCAAAGGCTACAAGAGGGCATCAAGTCTAGCCTGCAGCCACTCACTTGGTAGGTGTACTTGCTGGCAACCATGTGCAATCCATTCATCAAGGGCAGCCTTGCTGACTGAGCCAGCCAGCTCATTCTCTGGAATGCTGAGGTTTTTCGGCAGGTGGCGCATATGCAGGCCAAGAGGGACACGCTACCAGCAGAGGAGGAGGAAGACAACAGCAGCTCTGCTTCTGTCCCCCCATGGCCACTCCCAAGACATTCATAGAGATGGAGGCAGTTAGCCCCTCTGGGAATGTGAGGTGGACCAACCAGGCTTGGGCAGCCACAATGGTAAAGGATTACCTCCCTGAGCCCTAAAAGTCACAGTCTACCAGTCTACCATTGAGCTACTGGGCAAGGAAAGAGTCGGTTGGCCGGATTTCTCTCTTGTGGCTGAGGCTTCTCTCATGATCTTTGATGAGCATGCATATTGTGTATTGTCTCCCAGATCAGTGTCATTGTCAACCTGCATCGCTCCCCTCTGCTCCCCTGGAAAGTTGTAAAAAACAGTGACCCAGGATCACAGTGTATAACACAGAAAATATAACAAACACTGTGATATGCTAACACATTTAGTAAAACATTTTGCAATCAACATAGAAGTCTTACATTATATAGAAATATACCCTTATGGTATTGCAAAAAAGAGTCCATCCGCATATTACTATGAGCACCCGGATGTGGGCTCATTTAATCAAATTCTTCCTCAGGAGTATTCTTATTTTCTTCAAGGTTACCAGCCTCTTGTTGCAACTCAGTGTTCATATTAGGAGCGAACCAGTCCTTAAACTCATCTGAATTGGGCTGGCAAAATTATCTCTACAAGCCTCAGAATTTTCATCAGAATTCCTGAAGGTCACCTTACTGCTCTTTGACTACCCAGCTCTGGACTTCAAGGGTGAGTAAAGTGAGCACATGCTTGTGCCTGCATCCTCTCTCAGTCCGTACTGGGGAGTCAGAGTCCCAAAACTTAAACGTTTACTGTCAGAATTAGAAGCAATAGGAAAGTTATCCATTTTGATTGGCCATTTATAAAACTGGCATCCCAAACAGTGTTCTAAGATAACCTAAACAAACCCACCCAACTGAGCCCTAGTTGCTGTGCAGTACAGGCAGACATTGGTGTAGTTTCAGCTCAGTTTTCTCAGAAAATGGAGTACCAAAAATGTTGTTCATATGTTAGGAAAGTAGTGGTCTAGGGAGACCTGTATGTCACGTGTGAGATTATATCAGTTTAAAAAAGCAGAAGACTCATGACCATCTAAAATGAAACTGACATGCATGCTGTAACACTGTTTTTGTTTTTCTTCTTTACAGTGGTGGGAGGGAGGGAACAGGAGCGTCAGTGATGAAGGGCAACTGCAGCTGTTTCTTGGCTCTTCAGAGCCAGTGATGGTATAGGCTGCAGAGAGGAGAACTTAGGTACCCAAACCCCCTCCTCTTGCTTTCTGAGGCATTCCTTGGGGAAGAGATGTTCAGTATGTTAGGCAGGGTCTCTTGGTACTGGCAGATTGGTTCTGCTGGGATTCTCTGGTTTGACATTGGTTCTGATGGGCTTGTGCTGCCATATAGGCCCTGGATCCTGCTCGACTCTTGTGGTTTGCAATGGTTGTGTTGGGCTTGCAACTGTGCCCCCCCTGCTTAAGTTAGTTTGTCTGATTCTATGGTTTGACATTAGTTATGTTGGGCTTGCCACACTGGCCTGTGGTTTTGCTTTGATTCCCTGATTCTGCTTGGCTTGTTGGTTCTGTTTGTGTTGGGAGATTTTGATCAGTGGTTGCAGCTTGCTCTTGTAAATTTGGCTATTGGCTTTTTTGCCATGGAGAAAGCATGGATTCCCCCCCCCCATAGGAAACAATGAAGTGTGGTGGAGGACACCTTGTTCAGAATTGAACCCTTTGACCCAGTCTTCTTGAAACTAGATAGTTCTTTACTGGACAGGCAGCATCAGCCCTCCAGCAATTTTGGTGCTGTTGCTTAGAAAATAACCCCTCCAGTCCCACAAAAAAGATTCCCCATAGGGAATAAAGGACCCGAATAGTATCAGAATTGGGGGGGGGGGGAGACCTGAATCCAGATACCAAACTGGTATTTGAGACCCAAATAACCTGAAATGATACCTTTCCCCCCTGATGCACATCCCTATCAGTACCATTACCCTTCATGGTTTCTTTCCATGTATCTATTGCAGCAGATGTATGGAAAAAAAAATCCAATGGGCATTAGCACTGCCATAATATCAGATCTAAAGATACCTTTGTGTGGAGTTAGCAGAAACCATTTCTGCTTGTGGAAGGAGAGGTCTGTGCTCTCCACGTTTCTGAGTGAAGCTGTTCCCAAGAGTATGTCAACTTTTTGGAGCAGCTTTTCAAGTGCACTGGGGCTGCATGAGACACGGGGACACGTTTTCTGAGCTGACCTCCCCTCAGTTTTTTTTAAATTCACAACTTATCATTCTTCTCCCATGAGCATTTTCTGTCCACATCAACAGCAGTGGGAAAGACTAAGCCCACAGTCATTCTTACATGTTCTTCTGCTTCTTCTCCAAAGGCCAGAGTGACCACCACCACTTCATAGCTACATAGCTGGTCAGTGCTAGCAAGACCAGGATGCTAGCAGGACCAGGCCTTGAGATCATGACAAACTATTCCAACCTCCCCCTTTTAAACACCAAGCTTGATGAAGCATTCTGGAAAAAGTGAAAACTTGTATATGTTTTCTGTCATTTTGGTTAGTCTTAATAAACGGTATTAATTATTTGGATCTTATTTTAGATCAGTGTGGCTACCTGTAACTTTATAGTTGATATACTATATAGATCTATTATTTAGTCCACTCTTGGCTATTCTGATAAGCAGCATTTCTCCAAAGATGAAGGCAGAAAAAGGCCTCTCTGAGACTTGGGGAAATCCTTTTAACTGGAAATGCTAGATGCAGGGCTGCCCTACTTCCCAATAGGGCTTCAGGGAAACGAAAAATTTCACTACCCTTGTAGCCACCTAAACTCTCTACATGCGTTTCAATGTCTATGAATAATTAGCATCAAGTACTAAAATAAAAGCCATTAAGAAGCTTTCTAATAAGGAACACCTTCCTCTAAGTCACCCTCCAAGAATACTGTCATGTTTATAAAGGGGGATTTTTAAAAAAGAGTATCACCTCTCAGCAAAGAAACCAATGTTTGCATCCTAAAGCAAGCTGTAAATATATAAATGGAAGGTGATACCACAAATGTAAAGCCTTAATCCTCCATAATTCTCCAGGTGGGGCAGGTGGCCCTATTTCCGAAAAGCTGAACCTGGGACCTTCTGATTTAAAACATGCTTAACTACTAAACTATAAATCCATTGTCTGTGCTACTTGACCTATGATGAAATTAAAACCAAGCAGTACACATTAATGAATGTATACATTCATTCATGGTTGTGCCTTTGAGCCAAACTATGAATTTCAGTCTTTATTGTTCTAATTTGTTATCTAAATAACTCCTGCTTAGCTTAGCATATGAACCTAAAGTCTCCTCTCAAGAGCTGAGTGCAGCTTTAACTAGAGATGTAAAGGGTGCGGGGAACTAATATGTGAAAATAGGCTGTACCTGAGAAGTATATTCCTAACACTCCTACTTTGTTGTAGATCCCTTTCATGTACACTGCATTCAGGGCTGCCTGATCTTCCACAACAGCACCAGTCACAGCTTCTACGAGGTGGCACTGAATGGGCGTCCTTTCCTGAAATTCTACGCTGCCAACGCTACATGGTTGCCTTTGAAGGCCTCCCACATGGCCTCGTATGCCACTGGCCAGCTGAACTACTACAACGAGACCACAAAAACCCTGCAGTTTTTCCTACAAGAAACATGTGTTAAGTTTGTGAAGGAGCACAGCGATGTAAACCAACCCTTGACTGGTGTGTATGACTACTTTTATACATCTGGGAAGCAAAATCTTCGCATAATAGCTGGGATGCTGCTTAGTTATCCACAGTATAGCCAAACAATGCATTACTTGAGCCAAAACCAAAAGGTTCCTAACCATGAACTCCAACAAACAGAGATGTACATATTTCCATGCAGTTCCATGATCTCGCTCAGTAAATTCCATGCAACTCCACAAAATCACCACACAAGAACAGAAAAGTAGAAATGGGTGCAGGTGAAAATCCCACCTTTCATTCTTAAAACAAAAAATAAGCACCCAGCTTCTAAGGCTGTAAAAATATGACCGAAAGTTCATGATGAAACCAAGGGTGTGGAATGCTTGGTAATTCCAGTATGTAGTATGGAGGAACTGAATAGGCTTTCCAAAGACCTACCTTTCCCTTCCTCTGCTTACTAGCAGCAGCACTAAGCAAAATAATACTGAATATATGCAAATATGACTTTGCTAAAGAATCCAGTTTTTGTGGGGTTTTTTGATACAGTATTTTATCTTTTGTGCAGAAAATACATGGTTGCACAGGCTCAGATAGTTACTTTTAGTATTCTCCACCATGCGAGATCCTCATCAGATTATTTCCTGTTAAGGGAGGTGGTTAAAATTGGTCCTGTTGCATGGGAAGCTGCTTCATGCACCACTGCTCACAAGCCTTGTTTTACAAGCAGGCCTAAAAATGCAACACTTGTCAGGTTGCTAAGTCAAACAGAAACAGCTCCTGTCTTGGATCCAAAAGGCCTCAGCCTTTTCACAATGCTATCCTATGAGTTACGATCCTATTTATGACTCTGACAATAAGTCACTTGTGAGTACAGCTGCCACCCACAAACATGCAGAAAGGCTCTCATCACATTTTTTCTTCTTGCCTTACAGGAGAGCGTCACGGTCGCTCACACACCCCACTGGTGCTGGGCATCATTGTGGGTGCCTTTGCTCTACTGGGCCTAGCTGTTTGCATCTTCCTGTGCACAGGCGGGAAAAGATAACATCAAGCACCGTAACATTATGAGCCAAACTCAACTGAAGGGAATGCTGCAAAACTCTGCTATCTGTGTTTAATCCTTTCATGAAGAAACAGACCCATGTTCATAAAATCCCACACCTCCTGTGAGTTTGAGCACAGCAGCAAGGCAACCATCATCGTAGGGACCTTTCTATATACTACCTGGAAGAAGGCTCTGCACTCTTGCCTTTGCATGCCATGACCAACAGTGGGCAGAAGCCACAAAGCACTGTATAAAAATTAATAATTCATGGACTTCTTCATGGTTCTCAAATTGCTGGGACTTCTTCAGTGTTCCCCCTCCTAATGTTTTTTTAAAAAAATCCATTCTGGCAGTGGGAGTTATTACTGTTAGCATTTAACACTTATTTCATTTCAGCAACATGCAGTGAGGCGGCTTTGATTCATATTTTTAAAACAATTGGGGAAACATAGGGTTCCTTGATCCAGAGATGGGCACCACACTATCATCTCCAAGTGATGTGCAAAGAAAAGGTGTAACAGAGGACACCTCAGCAGATCTGTGAGAGACGGAGACCATTATATATCCCCTTCACTATGATAAAGTCACAAATTTTAACAAAGGTAACTCAACATCTCAGGAACTTCGGGCAAGCAGGAGGGACTCATAAAAGTTGGATTAGGAGCAGCAGGGGGCCTGTTTTGATTAAATGGAAAGCTACAGTGTTTCTTTCATAGATGTCATTATTGAGCCCCTCTCCTTCAAGGGGAATTTTTACTAGGGAGCACAACATGGTTCTTTCCTTATCTGAACATCTTGAGCCTAACTACGAATTGTAAGGCTAAGGATCCACCTCAATGAGTTATTCCCAACTACCACTGCCACAGTGAAGCCTTGGAAGTATGCCTCCCCCCCCATTCCTTTTGAAGTCCACAGAGCGCCCTGTGTGTGGGCAGGTGGCATCTGCAGTTGGAGGAGGACAGCAGCAGAACTAATTGCCCCACTAACAGAATGTTGCTTAGGATCTAACCTCAATGCATTTTAAATTTCTAAAGGGACTGGGAATGAAACCTACCACATCCTCTCTAGAGAACCTTTGATACCTGCTCAAGCAGTCAAGGTCTCTCATAAGAACATAAGAGAAGCCAATGTTGGATCAGGCCAATGAGAAGGAAAGAAGGAAAGGAGGGGATAAAAAGAGAGAAGGAAAGAGGGAAGGAAAGAAGAAGGGAAAGA